CTGTCTTCCGCAAATCCGATGATCTCCCGCGATCTGGCCATCTCCCGCGATCTAGCGATCTCCCACAAATCCAGCAATCACCCGCTGCGCCGACGATCTCCCGCTTCTCCCGCGATCTCTCGCGATTGTCCGCGTCCGATCGTGAGCGCCGACTCTTCTTCCGCGATCGACACAGCCAGTTCCAACCGTGCTCCTCGTCGGCGCAACCTCATCTCTGATCATTCTACTGGCCACCTCTCCTCTCCAATGACTAAGTACGACCATGCCTGCAACTCCTTCACTAGTGATGTCACTTCTAGCCACCCCTCCGTGGTTGGGTCTCCATTGCCCAACAATTCAAACAATAATTATGTCCTCATCACCAGCCACAAACTCACCGGCCATAATTACCTCATATGGTCGCAGTTATTCATGATGTTTATATGCGACAAAGACAAATATGACTTCCTCACTGGTGATGCTCCAGCTCCGATGACGACAAATCCGTCATACAAGACTTGGAAATCCGAGAAAAATATGGTTAATGACCTGACTTGTTAACTCGATGACACTTGATATTGGCGAAAATTTTCTTCTCTATGGCAAGGCTAAAGAAATCTGGGATGCTGCCCGTGAGACCTATTCTAGTGCGGACAATACAAGCGAACTATTTGTTGTTGAGACCGTTCTTCATGACTTTCGTCAAGGTGATCTCTCCGTCATCCAATACTTCAATACTCTTACTTGGTATTGGCAACAACTAGATCTATTCGAGGTGTACCATTGAAAGTGTCCCTAAGACTTTGCCATATTTTGCCAAATCATAGAACAGAAACACATCTTCAAATTTCTTCTCGGTCTCAAATCTGAGTTTGACCAGACTAGCTCACGGATTTTAAATTTGAAACCTCTTCCAACAATTCGTGAAGCTTTCTCCGATATACGTCGCAACGAGAGTCTCCAAAAGGTCATGTTAGGTGCTTCCTTGTCCACTACAGCCCTCGACGGGTCTGCACTTACTGCTCATATTCCATCCACACTGCTCATATTCCATCCACAGACAAAAAAAACCGCCAACGTCAGGGCCGCCCTTGGTGTGAGCACTGCCACCGTTCTGGCCATACTCGGGATACATGTTGGCGGATTCATGGCAAACCCGTCAATGGGAAACCCAAACAGGGTCATCGGGCAGCTGCCACCAGCACCACTGAAGCCTCTCCAGGAATGAGCCCATTCAGCGAAGAACAGATTCATGCCCTCCAGAAGATGCTCGGTCAGTTGTCACCAGTCCAGCCTACTAGTGTGGCATCGGGTGCCACCGACCTTGTTACCTATCAAGGTATTTCCCCATCTGTTTTCGTCTTGGATTCAACCTCTTCTCGCTCCTGGATTGTTGACTTAGGTGCCTCCGATCATATAATCGGGGATGTCTCCTTATTGATGGATTACCGGCCGTGTAAT